GGAAGAATTTTATCGGTTACTTACTCGGTCGGTTACTTAAGTCGATCTTATCGAAATTAACTAGTTCGCAACTGTTTCTGACATTGGTACGGATAAAACCGGCTTTCCTACGTACAATTCTAATCCCTTTGATGTTGGGTAGAGATCTCCGTACGATTTAAAATTAGCTCGTAAGCAGGCAGTCGATTTCGCGCGTGCATTACGTTCAATGTTGTGGACAAATACGAAAGGGTGGCCACCCCTTCTTAGTCTTTATTCACGTCAAACCACGCGTCTCTTAAAATCTCTGTCTCTTACTGAATGCGAGTAACTTACTCTTAAAGTGCAATGAACGTGAATGGAAAATTCAATGTAAGCTTTCCATTTCACGGTTATTACGTAAAGTACGTATTATTTATGATATTATTATGAAAATAAAAATATCATTCGGGTGATAATAACGACGATTTATATTTATTAGAAATTTGTGTGGAAAAAAAAAAAAAAAGAAAAATTAATTTAATGGGTAGGACGTGATTTATCTAGAACCGCCATATTGGAATCGAGTCCGAGCTGGAAGAAAATTGAGCGGAGAGAACGATGATAATTTATTTATCGTCTAGCTTTCAAAATAACACCTCTCCTTTTTGATTTTTATTAATAGCCTAGATAGCTTGTGTTCTTCTCGGAGAAAGGACAATGGCGGTCGAAAGATATTCTCGACTACTGCAAGTATGACCAAACAGTGGTCCTCTCTTGTTCAGGTCACTCGGAATAACTGGTCTTATCACTGGCATCATCCGGTGATGTTTCTCGATAGGCATCACCTGTACCATTGGCGTGAAGACTTTGATTCGGTGGTTTTATCACGGTTGGAAGGTAACCAGTACCAGCGTAAGGTGCTGCGAGAAATCTATGTCTCGTTGAAGGGATCGGTGTGGTACAGTAAGCACTGCGTGTCGTATAGCCTGCCGAAACTGATGCCGAAGCAGCTGCTGCTGAAGCCAAGGCACCCGCCAATGGTGAGAACGCTGACTTTGGTTGAAGATTATCCTCACAGACTAACACTTCCATCGCTGATACCACATCACCTAGTGGTATACAATTTTATTTCATAGATTTTTTTTTTCTTTTTTTCTCTTTTTTTTCAATTTTTTTCGTCTAGTCAGAAAATTTTTCTATTATAATTTGCATTTTATTGCTTTGACAGAAGCTTTCCAAATGTATATTGATTTTGTAGAATTAATTGGATGATAAAGTTTACGATCGATTCAAAAGATATATTATTTACATGTATCGGTTTAATAATTATAAGCCTTTATTTGATTCTGAAAATAATGGCTAAGACGACAAAGAATGAAACTTATGTAAACATTTCAAAACTTACCTTTATATCGATGCAATAGAGCTTCCACATCGGCTCGACGTCGTCCAGGAAATACGCGAAGAAGAACGTCGACTGGCGATCTTTGTTGTTGCTGTTGCTGTTGTTGCTGTTGTTGTTGCTGGACTTGTATACCACAAGGTTGTTGAATATTTTGCATTTGCATTTGCATTTGAATTTCTCGTGGTTCGTGTACATTTGGATGATGTTGATGCTGATAAATCGTGGGCGAACAGTACAGGGAACTGACCGCTGGTCCATAAAGTGGTGCATAAGTAGGAAAATGGACCGACGTCGCTGCGGCCTGAAACATAGAATACGGATTTTCCTAAAAAATTTTATTGAAAATACTTAAAGAGAATTAATGAGTAACAAACCAAGGTTATTTCAATTTATTTCATTCATTTAAAACATCGTTTTGATTTTATTAAAATATAGAAAAAAAATATATGATTTGTAATCATAAATATTGTTCCTAAATATAGATATCACTCTATATTTTATCAATAATGTTACTTACAAACGCTATTTATAAGAAACTTTTTAAAACTCTTGTAGTATGCAATAATTTATACATAAATGATTTTTGTTCTATTGAAGGATCTATTTTATTATCTAAGAAGATTAAATGAATTATTTATCGATCGATGGCATCTTCAGGCAATATTATCGATTAAAAATAGAATGTCTACTTCCACGCGTAACTTATAATTACAAAAAATCAATAAATAAACATAATAAATTAATATTAATTTAAAATGTAAGTAATATTAAAAAGTAAGTCAAATAAATAAATAAATATATATATATACGAATCGATGATAATAAAGTAAATAATTTTTATTAATTTTGACATAATCAAATCTGAGAAATGTATTGAACTCACTGCGAGTGAAGCTAATGGCGGACTTGGTCTGGGTTGCACGAGATCGACCGCCTGTGGAGTTTGTTGTGTTTGTGGCGGACTTCCGCTTTTACGCAAGCTGAGGTTTTCCGGAGCTGGTGTACTTTCTCTTTGTGGTGTAAGTGCAGGCGTTAGGGGTGGTGTATGCGTGGGACTCGAAGAACCTGGCTCTGGACTTCCTTCTTCAGAATCATTCAGACTATTTGTACGCATTCTTGCTATTTCGGCGTCTTGACTGTCGACAGGGCTAGAAACAACTTTTAACACAGAACGCAAATGAATTTGATTATTAACAATAAATGATATATAATGCATAATGCATATTAAACTTTCATTATACTTGAAACAAGTTATCATGTTTCAAAGACAACAAATAATTATTTAAAAGAAGAATTTATCTAATGCACAGGATTTTTTTCATAATCAAAAAACATTTCAGATGAACAAATTAAACGAATAAATATTAAACATTTATTATATTATAAAAATTAAACAATTATCAGTCACATAAATTATTTATATTTCTACGTAATAATTCTCGAGGATTAATTAAAAATATCGTTATAAAACGGAGTAAAATGTCTATAAGAAATCATAAATATCCTTAGACTTCTTACATTCAAAATATTTCACTTTTCGTAGATAAGAATGTTCACAATAAAAAGATTTCAAGATCGACAAATATTAAAAATTACAATCCAAAAAAAAAAGAAGAAAAAACTATAAAACCGTATCGGTTGACTGTAACGCGAGAACTATTTAAAGATATACTATTTCATAAAATACCTAAACAAAGACACGACTAGTCTGAACCCTTTTGTACTTGTTCTTTTCTCAGCAACGACAAGGGGTAGAACGATCTTTAGAGACGAATAGGGAGAGTGATGGGAGTGCCAAGGTTCACCACGAAGGTGGGAATTTGAGAAAGAGGAGTAGCTCGACGGGATCTCTACTTGTTAAAGCTTTGGAGAGAGGATTGCTACAGTATCAAGGGAATTTGCTATTGGAGGAGGTAGGCAGACGAGATTGGCGCAAACTCACGTACCCGCCAATCCTGCAGCTTCATGAAGGCCGCGAGAATGGCAGAAACGAGTGTTGGTCCAGCGAACGTGTATAAGTATCTAAAGAGAGTTTGTGTGCTGATCGAATTGTGAAGGGAAATGTGAGAGGAAACTTTGTTTAGTTGACACGTCAAGCTTTTCACCTTAAATTTTAACGGCATCACGCATCTATCTGTCATATTTGCGAAATCAAAGGGCTTGGCTCGAAGATAACGGCGCCTGCGTTCTAAATTTCTTCCTTTCTATTCTCCCTCTTTGTTTGCATGATGTTGCGAATTTATTGCATCGTTGAGCGTAACTTATATTATCACGATCATTAAAAGGTTATATTGCAGAACTTCATTTCATCATATCCCATTTGTATGAATGAATTTATGTATTAAATTTTTACGATTCTAATTATGAACGAACATATATATCATACTATTTGCACATCATATAAACAATAATAAAATTATATTAAAGAATTGTATGTAGCTGTATGAAAGAGTCTGTTGAATTTTTATGACACTAAGATGTACGTATATTATATTATACCTACGCGGCATTTCAAATTTATTGCGTTCTTGAACTACAGATGTCATTTTAACAATGAATAAGATAATATCATAAAACTTCGTTTAATGAATCTATCTGCTAAATTATATATATATATATATATATATATATATATATATATATATATATATCATGAATTAGTTACATAAATATTTATATACAACATTATTCGTGGTATTATAAAATAGATGGTAGGAAATTAAACTCTTTGTGAGATCAATTAAATAAAATATCGAAAAAAATATATTTTTATGATATGTTCATTTACGATAATAAATAAAAAAGATCAAAGATAAAGTGAAGCCCTCTTACCAAGTGGATGATTGGCACGAAGTTCGCCACCTGAATCTGATTCGCGATCATCTTCATTTCCCGTATCATCCCCAGCTAATATCGTTCCTTTGGTATGATCGGAAAGTCTTGTTCTCTTCGAGCCTAGAAAGAAAGATTTTGATTGGCACAATTTTCTCTAATTAAGCTCGTTCTAATTCAAAAGCCATTAATTTATAATGAACATAATAATATTCATTAACGATGATAAGAATCGAATCTCTATTAATCAATACTTTTTCATGTATCTAAACAAATATTTATATAATATAAAACTTACAGTAAATTGTACTAAATATAATACTTTAATAAACGAATACTTAACTAAAATCAAATATCAAGTTAACAATTAATTTTGCGACGAAAAAAATTAAATAAGACAATTAAGAAATACAGATATATGAGCAGCCACTTGAAAGTAAGACAGAATAATTTAATGACACGGTAATCATTGAATTTAGTGTCATTATTACATAAAAAAAATGTTCACATACATTTCCTTTCTCAATCGGTTCGTCGTCTTTGGATAGCAAAATTAAAAACGTATGAAATGTATTATTAGCGACAAATATTTTATCTAAACAGTAACTTTCTCTCTCTTCATTTCTCCCTCTTTATCTCTCTCAATGTGCTCTTTAAGGAGTCCGTTATTCTAAGCATTACCCACTCGAAGGTACATCCTAAGCGTGGGGAGAACACTCTAGTTAAGAAGCTATACCACATTCCGTTTCTATAACACCACTTGAAAGTTAGACGCAACGGCACTCGTAGGAAACTCATTGAGCGACTGCTCAATACGATAATCGCATAATGCTTATTCTCGGTTACTAATATCTTAGTCTAGTGATTAGTGCGAAAGAAAGAGAGAGAGAGAAAGAGAGAGAGAAAGAGAGAGAGAGAGAGAGGGAGAGAGAAAGAGAAAAATTTAGATAATGGAAGTTTTACCGTAAGTGATCATTTTGAACTCCAGTTATCGGCATCGTTACAATAAATTGTGATTATATACATATATATATACATATATATATATATATATATACATATATATATATATACATATATATATATATAATATAATTTATGATATTAATAAAAGTAACATAAACAAATTGATATAAACACAATAAAGTCAGTATTCATACGTTGATAAAAACTAATCACCCTATATATTCCATTCATATCTATCTCTGGCTTTATAAATTAATCCCACGTAAGTTCCACCCTTTTGTCCATTCGAACAGAAACAAAAGACCGAACGCTTAGCTTTATTACTCCCTATAATACTAAATCTCCCTTTCACCATCCACTTACGATAAGAAACGCAAACAGCAACTTATAATAAATTGCAGTTTGCCAAATGACATACTTAAAAGTATTTAGAATAATAGAAATATATTGCAATCAAGACACTATGTGACATTCGTAAAAAAATCGATCGAATCATTTCTCACTTGCAATTGTTTTTCTAATGTAGAAAGATAATATTCATGAAAATCAATCAAATTATTTCTCGTTGATTCTTATTCATCTTATATACAAATACATTTTTGCATATAAATATATAATAATTTAGAAAATTAGATGCTTAAATTGCAATCAAAACACTATAAGACTCATATAAAATCGATTGAACTATTGAATTTTATCACATACTAATTGTAGACAAATATATACGTATATTACCTATAATTACACGTTGAATTAAATTATATACACACACACACACACACACACACACACATATATATATATATATATATATATAACAAATAATACGATAACGAAATGTTATGCTATCGCTCGTAGTTAAAACGTGGAAAAGCACTTATGCCTGGGGCAACCAAGAGAAGAGGTTAGAGGGTGAGTTAGAGAGAGAAAGGGAGAGAGAGAGAGAGAGAGAAAGTTGGCTAAGACTCTAGCTACATTTCATCCCACCCCTGGAACGCACTCTCGTACTAATAAACGGACGGTTAAACTTTTTAACGAGCGGTCAGTCGAGCTACGTTTCCACCACCTACTACAGAGAAAGCTGAGTCTTTCAGGCATTACCGTATATAAATTCGATGGTCGTGCACGTGCACAAGAGGGCCGAACGAGTTCGATATTATAGCTTTATTCGCAATCGTCCTGTCCTCTTTCTCTCTCTTTCTCTCTCTCTCTTTCGCTTTCTCATTTACATTGTTGGTAAGTTCAGGAGGCACCTCGACTCTGCTGGTCTATAGCAATTATTTCTAACAAACCAACCCTTGATAATCCTTGATGATAATGATTATATTGTGGCTTTCTCGATTTATTAATACATGGACAATCCTCAAATGAATGCTGAATATCGTAGCGTAGCGATTAGCCTTTAGAAATTGGTTCGTTCCTTGATACTTTTTTATTTGTGTATCCCTTTTCAAAGGAAATATAAGTTTCTCTTTCTTTACGAATATCATTTAATTTATATTTAACGTTAGGTTGTTGCAGTTATTTATATATGATTTAATAATTGAATTCAAACGTACAGAGATAATTCACGAAAGTTAATAGTTATTCTACAAATCATTTTGTATAATTCGCATATATTATAATGATAAAAATTTTCTAGATCTTAAACACCAAAATAAATGAAAATAATGCATCATTTATTATTATTCTTATTCGCAGTTGAAATATTAAAATCATCTAATTGTCCATTAAATTTTGTTCAATGAATATGCCAAACGATTTATAGTATTCATATTCAAGATATCTTCTTTCAATAAAGAATCTCATTCGATTTATGACACTTCGATAAATTCACAGTGACTCGGCTTGGAAGTTTATCGCATTAACCGTTAAATTCCAAGCGAGGAAAATTCCACCATCCCTGTATTTCTCTCTCTCTCTCTCTCTCTCTCTCTCTCTCTCTCTCTTTCTCTCTCTTTCTCTCTTTTCTCTCTGGTTCTCTAGGAAAATGATCTCCACGTTTCCTATCGTGCACCAGCATTCAGATAATGATATTAATAATAATAATTGATATCCTCTCAACGTCAAAGGAAAGGAATGCAATATTGAGGCGTAAATGTAGCTTCTGTATTTGAGACACACACAAACACATACACATATACATACACACAAACATTTATATGTATGTATTAAGAAGAGAAGAGAATCATTTTGAAGCAGTGTACTGTGTATCCGTCTATTCTGTGCTCGCGTACGCGTGAAATTTCAACGCGAACGAATGCATAGCCCGTCGTGCCTGCGGAATTATATGCATTACGAAGCTCTTATTAAAATGTCGTCCTCGTAGCCGACACTGCCGTACTTCGAGGGTAACATAGAAGAATCAACCCCCTTCCTGTCTCACTCATTTATATACAGTACTTACGTAGGTATATATATAATATGCTGGTGGATAGGGTCCCGAACCCTATTTACACAGGAATTACGATACGTTTGCTTCCAAGAATGTTATAAGCACATAATCCAGAGATAATAAGGAATATTAATTAATTAATTGAGGTATAAATTAGTGACAAATATTTTGGTAAAATTCTAAAGATGAATTGTTCTACAAATTTCACTCAAACTTCGCGGTAATGTAATACTATCAACATTTCTTGTTACGTTCTTAAGTATAGGTACTTATATGTAGGGTGTATTATTTAGTTTGAATACTTTAATTTTCCTTTTGATATTACGATAAAGTATCAGAGGAAAATTACTTTGTTATTATTTAAAATGAACTCTCTTTGCTTGTCATCATATATACTCTCTTCAAATGAAGTATTCATTCTTTTGATATTTAATGTATATATATATATATATATATATATATATATATATATATATATACCTACGAAAGAACGAGGAATGAATGATTCGCCCTTTCGAATTTCGGTCTCTTGAGAATTTTCGAAAGAGAAAAGATCATCGGTAGGAGGTAGCAAAGCTTTCTTCTCACGCGAAAAGGTTAAATGCTTGGGTATTAGGAAATCGAAGCGACTGATATGCCTGCCCTACGCTTTTTTTAATTCTTTTCGAATCTTTTCGTCTCGTTTTTTTATACGAATGTATACGTGTATAGAGTATGTATATATAAAAGGATCATCCTCCTCATCGCCCTCTCAAACGTCTAGCCGTACCTGAAGAAAAAGCGAGCCATTATACATTGGGGCTTGCCCTTCGGTGAGGGCCAACGCAACGTATCATAAAAGGGAGCACATTATAGTAGTGAACACGAGTGTTTTTCGTCTTTCACTTCAGAAACGGTATTCCTCTTGTATTTCGAGAAGGGTTCGTGCAATTTTACTCTGATCTGATTCCCTCGGGCATATGCGAAAGAAAGAAATTTAACTTTTATCGTTCTTTCTTTAAATTTCTTTCTTTATTTTTTTCTTTCTTTTTTCTTTCTTTCTTTCTTTCTTTCTTTCTTTCTTTCTTTATTTATTTTCCTTTTCAAACAAACAAAGATAACATTCTTTTAATAGAGACAATAAAGAGTATAAAAATGGTGATCCATTTTCAAATTTTATTCGTATTATTTTATTCGTATTATTCGATATATATTAACAAATATTATTGATTACGCTTGGAAAATGAGTGAAACTTGATGGGAAAACGAATTTACTTTCCGATCGGGTGGATAAGCCGAAGCGTGGACGTATAATAAAGGCACTTCTAAACTCCGAATTTCGTTTGTATAAGAGGGAGAAACAGAGAGGAAGAGAGAGAGAGAGAGAGAGAGAGAGAGAGGGAGGGAGGGAGAAAAGAGGGAGATGGATAGGTATAGTAGATAGAGCGACAGAGAAATAAACGAAAGGCACGAAAGCGAAGCAATTGACACGAGCGACGAATGAAAATGCGTGCGAATGACGACATCGGCGTGGGGTGGATGACGAGTGTCAACGAAGAAGAGTATAAGGTACGCTCGTGTTCTGCGATGAAAGAGAGACAGAGACAGAGACAGAGACAGAGACAGAGAGAGAGAGAGAGAGAGAGAGAGAGAGAGAGAGAAAGAGAGAGAGGAGAGAAGAGGGGAGGAGGGATTGAAAGGGAGGATGGTTGAAAGATCAGGTGATCGTGAGAGATACGAAGAGTAGCTAGATGGGGAATTATAAATCGATCTCACTATTTTA